ATAACACCTTGATAGAGACGGGTAAATCTCCCCAACATCCATGCAGAAGCACGAACCTGCATATCTTAAAAAAAGTCTGTTTGAAAGCAGGCAATCTCAACCACGCCTGTAAAGAGACCTGTGTATCTTAACAATACAGATACAGACGGTTATATCTCCACAAAACTTGTATAGAGGCATGTTTATCTTCAACATCACCCGTTCAGAGAAGGGAATGTCAACAACACCTGTACAAAGACTGGTATAATTCAACAACACATGTACAGAGACAGATGTATTTCCACAAAACCTTTATAAAGACAGGTATATTTCCTCAACATCTTTTCAGAGACGGATATATTTCCACAAATTCTTTACAGAAACCTGTACCGAAATGTCTCAAAAACGCTTGTACCGAGACAGGTATATCTGCATAACTCCTGTACAGAAACTGGTATATCTCTAAACAATTACTGACAGAGAGATGCATATCTCAACATCACCTGTACAGAGACAATCATATCTCCACAACATCTGCACAGAGATGTAATTCTCTACAAGGCGTATACAGAGGCAGATATATATATGTGTATCACTACAACACGTATAGAGATACGAGTGTATCTCAAAAACACCTGTTCAGAGACGACTTTATCTCAGGAACGCAGGCACATAGACATTTATCTCAATATCACCTGCACAGAGACGCGCAAATCTCTACCATACCTATACAGAGACGTAAAAATGCACATTGTATATCCACCGCTGTTGTGCAAAGACTGGAATATCATGTACAGAGAAGGGTATATCTTAGAAACACGTGTACATAGACTGTTATATCTCCACAACACCTGTACAGAAAAGAGTATATCTCCACAACACCTGTACAGAGAAGGGTGTATCTCCACAACACCCTACAGAGACAGGTATATCTCCACAACACCTGTACAGAGATGGCTATATCTCCACAACACCTGTAGAGTGAAGGATATATCTCCACAACACCTGTACAAAGACAGGTATATCTCCACAACACCTGTACAGAGAGAGGGGTGTATCTCCACAACACCTGTACAGAGATGGCTATATCTCCACAACACCTTTACAGAGATGGCTATATATCCACAACACCTATACAGAGACTTGTATATACAGAGACGAGTATATCTCCACAACTCCTTCTTTCAGAGACGAGTATATCTCCACAAAATCAGTTCAGAGACTACTATATCTTCACAACACCTTAACAAGGACTGGTATATTTTCAGAGTGTGCAGAGACAGGAAGATCTCCACAACACCTTTAAAGTGAAGGTAAATATTTCCACAACATTTGTCCAGTGACGGGTTTACAATGTATCTCCACAACACCTGTACAGAAAAGGTGTATCTCAAGAACACCTGCACAAAGACAGGTATACAAATATCTTCACAACACCTGTACAAAGACTGGTATATCTCAACAACACCTGTACAGACATGCATATCTTAACAATACCTGTGCCGAGACAGGTATATATCTTCAATAACACCTGTACAGAGTCTGGTATATCTCCACAACACCTGTACAGAGTCTGGTATATCTCCACAACACCTGTACAGAGACATTTTTATCTCCATAACACATTTACAGAAACTAGTGAGTCTCAGTAAAAACTGTAAAGACTGTTATATCTTCACAACTCCTGTACAGAGACCTGTATATCTCAACAACTCCTGTACAGAGACCTGTATATCTCAACAACTCCTGTACAGAGACCTGTATATCTCAACAACTCCTGTACAGAGACCTGTATATCTCAACAACTCCTGTAGCAAGACGTACATTTGTATATCTTTACAACACATGTAAAGAAACAGGTATATCTCCACAACACATATAGAGACGGGCGTATCTCCACAACATCTGTATAGGGGTAATATAACAGGGGGCACTTTCAGGGAGAGCTGGATCTGAGCACGACCAAGGAAGGACAGCAGGAAGAAGGAGTCTTGCATTGTTCTAGAGGTCAAAGTACGAAAAAACCCTTTTATCACGGGGTTAGAGAAAGAGACAGAGAGAGGTGAGAGTCGTTATAATAATTGACCTATGTACTTTCTGGGAGAGTAAGGATATTCGCGAGAGTATTTGTTTACAATTACCGCATCTCAATGTTACATATGGAAGCATATTAGTGCCACTTGGTCACTTTTTTATTTGTCATTTTCCATACTTTAATCTGTAAATTTTACACTTTAATCTGTAAAATGTACACTTTCATCTGTAAATTTTGCACCGTAATCTGTAAAATTTACACATTAATATGTAAATTTACACTATAAAGTGTAAAATTTTGCACTTTAATCTGTAAATTTTACACTTTAATCAATAAAATTTACACTTTAATCTGTAAATTTTACACATTAAAATGTAAATTTTACACTTTAATCTGTATAATTTACACTTTTATATGTTTAATTCACAAAATCAGTTTGGCAACTTCTTACATCTTAAGTAACACGCTATAAAGTCAACAGACCATGAATCTTGCATGATAAATTTAATGTTGATTTCTTATTAACAATAAATATGGAAAATAATTAGTTATCAGATATTATATGTATGATACAAATAATAAGCAATCTAGTATGACTGATATAAGTGAGACTTTCATAGAATATTTGAAAGAATTATAAATTCAATGGAAGTGAAGAGCAAATAAAACACATATATCTTCTCATCGATCAATGAATATGATATTGATATCATTATACGCAAATCATTAATTTTGATGCGCTCAGCAGTTCAATTATTGATAGCATAAATTAAATTACATTCTACATGTATTACAAGCAACAATTGAATTACTTAGTGAAAAATTTTAAATAGCCAATTAATATATTAATTATGAAAGTATATACATGTATAAATAATTAAAGTGTATGAGTTTATATTAATTTGGAACAACGTAGAAATTAATATCCTTTGATTCAATGATGTATCTTTATTGTTACGTTTTAAAATGGCTGTAATTTTAACTGTTATATTTTACATCATGATCATAGTTCCATAAACTTGCATTATCAATCTGAACTGCAAATGAAAAGACAAAAATATTCGAGATATATATCTTTAAATGTTCGTCGCTCTTTACTATAGTACTAAAGAAATATACTGGATTGAAAGCAGATTCCCGATATTTTGTTGGGGGAAAATTACGAGGCCCATGAGCAAATTGCCCATCCTTACTTATCATATATACATGTATAAACTTTTATGCAAACACTTGTGAACATCACAGTTTTATACTAATTTTTCAAATGTCAGAGGTTTAACACCATATAACTACCGTTCGATCATTACAGATTACAGTATAAGTTTTTCAGATTAAAGTGTAAAATTGACAGATTATTGTGTAAAATTTGCAGATTAAAGCGTAAATTTTACAGATTAAAGTGTAAAAATTACAGATTAAAGTGTAACTTTTACAGATTAATGTGTAAAATTTACAGATCAATGTGTAAAATTTACAGATTAAAGTGTAAAATTTACAGATTAAAGTGTAAAATTTACAGATTAAAGTGTAAATTTTACACATTAAAGTGTAGAAATTAAAAAAATAAAAAGTGTCAATATGGCACTAATATGCTTCCGTGATTACACTAATATAACAAACTAAATAATGCAGTTAACATTCGCAGTTGAATAAACACCACCCAAATCCTAATTTGACTTATCACCCAATACGACGGTTGTCCATAAAGTTCTTCAAGAATGGGGTTTTTTTTTGTCAAACTAAATGGGCCTAAATATACTTATCATCTACCAGAATATTTCTTACGAAAATGCAACGCCAGACTGGGCTTTGCAGCCTGTGTATACAATGTTTTTATACTGATGATGGTCGTAAATTATTGTGCATTATTTTGAATTTTTAAAATTTACTCAAAAATGGTCTTTATATATTATAAATATTATCACACTCATTTGGCAGTGTGGAATAATAAAGAAAAAAAGACTGTCCACAAACATGTGATAGAAATCCAAACTCCATATTTTTGACGTTATCATGAAATTAGCTCTACGTCAAACTGGGGTTTGCATATAGTAAGTATTTACACCTATAGCGTTCGTAAAATAGTGTGCATCGTTTATATAAAAAAATTAAATACATTTATGAAATAAAGGTCTATATTGAAATATCATCATATTCGTTTGGCATTGTGGTCATCATTTAGAAAATTATAGCATTTGCCTATGAACTTTATGAATAACCCTCGTACAATCAGCTAGAACTAAATTAATGTATGTGTCATTTGTTCGAAATGAGATTCTGATCTTCACTGTGTAATTAAAATATTGCCATATCTGAGAAAAGTAAATGGATTTAAAGTTATCTTTCTTTATATATGGGTATGTATATACATAAAAATGATACAGTGACATTTTACTTCAGAAGTGCCCTAAAGGGAAGTAACCATACAAGTAACTATAAAAATCACCAAAGTAAATTTTCTTTAAGAAAATTTTAAAAAAAATGTATTAATATTCAAATAAGACATTGATTTAAATTGTTGAAGGTTGATTTTCAGTATATATAAAACTACTTAATGACCCCATTTAATATAGCCATTTTTCAGTTGTATTCAGAAATCCCATGATTTAAGCTAGAAGAATAATTATTTATAGTTTCAGAACATTTCCACTATTTGTTATTTTTACCCCCTTCATTGTTAATGTACTCTTTTTATTATTTTTCTAGATACGGAGTATTTTTATAACTTAGACTTCCTACAATTTATACTGGAAGTAATGTATATAGATAATGACGTCACAAGAGGCACTTTAATATGAATATTTGTCAATAACATACGTTAAAGATTAAGGCAAATGGAGCATATAATGTGAAATTGATTGCAGTGATAGATGAAATTGGGGATAATTTCCGAACTGTAAATTTCCTATGAATGACTGACAATAGGAGCTTTATATAGGATAATAGCTACGGGGAGAGAATTTCCTGCGCACGAGTTGTAATGACACTCGTCATATGTCGCGTGATGTATGTGTACAGTGCAGCTTGAAAAAGAAGAAACGTGTGTATTTCGTTAAGTTATAGAAAAACCTTGCAGAAGGAAGATAAGAAGATAGATTGTGTGTCCCACAGGGACCTATCGGTAAGAGAAGAAAGTAAGTAAGTGCAAATAATTTTTTTTTTATGAAAGTTAATTAACAAATAATATTAATTCAAATTGTTCATTTGTAAAATAAAAAAAATAACTGTGGGAATCATTTTTAAATATGAAATTATATGTATAGAAATGAATTTTAATTTATAAAAATGTGTTACAACTAGGGAAATGTATTGTCATGTTTTAAGTTTTGAATTTACCGGGTGGCAGTAAATACAAAATTTACAATTTCGTATTTACTTTTGAGAAGAGAATATTTTTGTTATTTTGTTTTGAATTTACCAGGTGGCAGTTAATACAAAATTTACAACATGACAGTATGATTACACATATGTATATTGACACGACGTTTTATTCTTTAGTTCCTGCTTGAACAACTGACCTTCATTTTTTACAGCATGGCTTCTCTGTAAGTAGATACATGTAGTGTTTGATCTATTATTTCTTCCTTTCAAAAGCACTGTATAAAAATCTTGTCCTTGTATACTTAAGTAAGCTGCATGTTATAATCTTTATTCAGTATACACTGCCTCATACGCCAAAGATGTCACGGGTAATAAGTATTCAGTATACAAAATATATACTAGTATACAGGACAAAATGTATTATATTCTTTAGATTTTATAGTTGTGAGGTTGTAATTTTGATACCGTTTAAGCATAACAGAAATAAATAAATAGATTTAAAAATAAAATCAGGAGGTTAGCTATATCCATACCATTATCATCCACCAATCAACTTTTCTGTTATTTAGGTCTGCTGGCATTATAGCAGGAATAGTGATTGGTTCTATCTTCGGAGTTCTTCTGATAGGTTGCTGCTTTTCGATGATATGCCGCCATTGTCGCCATAGATTTTCGGGACACTTCGGAACTTATCCACCGATTATCGGAGAACACCATGGTGGCCATTACGGGGGACATCACGGAGGTCACCACGGGGGTCATCATGGCGGCCATCATTGATCAACATCATTACATTGTTTTGTTGTTTTATTTGAACCAGAGACATTACATCTCATAGGTATACAAAATATGTACATAAATATTTATACATAAGCTTTGCACAGGATAAGTGTAGTATATGCTATACAATATACATTACATGTGGCAATTACATAAACAATAGCATTTAATGTATTATCATTTCTTATTGTACATTATTTAAAACATCATTTCTCAATTGATAAGAAAAATACATAAATTTACCTAGGTTACATAGTTCTTTAGTATTTGTGGAACTCAGTAACTGTACTAATTTAAATACTGATGGTTTTTTTAAAATAATAACTCTTGATATATTTAATTCTTAGTTCTTCATATCGAGGACATTTTAATACAAAGTGAAATTCGTCCTCTATCTCATCTGATATACATATTTCACATTTTCTATCTTTTCTTTCTATGTTACAATACCTTCCCCTCTCTATCTTTAAATCATGCGCTGATAGTCTTAAACGACATTAACATATGACGCATAATAAACGGCAGATGTTACTGTTCCAAATGGCAGCTAATTAAAGTCTCATTATTTATAGAGAATTCTGATTGCAGCATGAAGTACATCGTGTATATCGAACATTGAGAATGAGAGGCAAGCAATGAAAGATTTTGGAGATCAAATACTCCTAACTATTTCAGAATTATGAAATTATAGGAAGCAATATGTATATTTGCAATTTATATAATAAGAAAGGTCATAAAGATCATATTGATTCTATATTTTTTTTGTAAATATACAGAAGAACATGTTTAAATTGGATATGTAATTTTTTTTTTCTGCAATAAATGCAAGACTTCGTGTAATACATCGTAAAATTTAACAAAGAAACATTTATTTGTTGCTGATTATGTACGGTAACCTCTTTCCTTAAATATTCATATCAGTGGGTAAAGTACGTAAACTATTGCATTATAGATCCCTATTTTACACACATGAAAAAGCAATGAAACGTTTTACGTTTAACAATTCTTCCACATTTGGAGTTACAGCTGGGTGGTTTCGAACAGCCCGATATCACTACTATAAAGTTTAGAAATTAATTGTTACATATTATTTAAAAATCACGAAAATATTCAGCGGACGTAAATAAATTGAATGTATGATTCAAATAGCAATGGAAGTTACAAAACTATCATTCATCATACGAGGTTTATTCATAAAGTTCGTAGACAAATAATGACCCGAATAAAGACGCACTGCCAAACGTTTACGATAATATTTTGATAAAGACCATGATTTAAATGCATTTACTCTAATATTTTTATGTAGACCATGATTTTAATGCATTTACTATAATTTTTTGATATAGACCATGATTTTAATGCATTTACTATAATATTTTGATATAGACCATGAGTTTAAAGTGCATTTGTGCACTTAAACTGTAATAATAAATGTGCGCTTTTGTTCTTAAACATAAACTAGCAGAAAATGAATTGGCTATAGCCAAAAAAGATAAATTTGAAAGTTGTAAATAAAATTTGGATAAGTATAATGACATCAAAATTTTACTATGAAAATTTCATTATAGATTTAATTTCATAATGTTGTGACGTCTAACAAGTTTCTTCTGACTATTTGTGTACTGTGTTAAAAACCAGGAGAAATCGTAGAAATATGTGACATTCCATCTCGACCTACATTCAGGGGTCTTGAAATGGTTAGGAATGCGTATTTAGATCTAATTTCCAATATGCCTCGGTTAGTATTTTCTTTTAAAATTATCCTCGATCGCCTTAGCTTTTACCTTCACTTTTGGGTCGCAAGCAACGTTTAAGTCACCTTTGACCTTCCTATGATAATTTCTTGTAACAAAATGATGTTTTTATCTATCAGCCTATCTTCATACCTCAATTCCCACCCCCCCCCTCTTCTTGAAACGAGAAGTATTTTACAATTATTACTGTTTCTGAGGTTAATACAATGATTTAGCTACCCAAGCAGTACAGTAGTTACTGAACTTGAAGGTCGAGCTCAATAGTGTACTGCAAGGGTTGCTAAATCACCATCATAGTGATCGAAAAAAGCACCAACATTAGTTTGATTGTGTCTATCAATGATTAAAAAAAAACTCGTTGAGCAAACATCGCCATCTTTCTTTGTTGTTTAAAATTAATAATTGTGATGTACCGGAATATATACGAGATATAGTCCCAAAGAAAATAGAACAAATATCAAGATACAATACACGAAATAAAGATCAATTAAATATTCCAAGAGGCAGGTTAGAAATATTTAACAAATCATTTGTACCTGATCTGTTAAAAGATGGAATTTATTGGATACAGATACAAGAGAAGCCAACTCAGTTAATTCTTTTCGTAAGATTATAAGTGATAATGCTCCAAAAGCACCTTCCTATTTTTTATTTGGTAAACGCACTACAAACATAATCCATACTAAATTAAGGCACAACTGTGTATTGGACCAAGATTTATATAAACGTAATATTATTGACAATCCTTATTGTTCTTGTGGTAATCAAGAAGATGCCTATCATTTTTTCTTTGTTTGTAAAAAATATACTAATGCTCGAAATAATCTCTTTGACCTTCTTTTTCGACTTGATTTAGATATCATAGATGTACACCTACTACTCTGGGGCAACAAAAACTTTTCATTAGAGTTAAACATTGGCATTTTTGCCGCTGTTCACAGATTCATAAATGAATCTTTTAGGTTTAGATAGATATACTATTTGCATTTATTTGTATACGTTTTTATTATTATTTTGCATGACAATTATTATGTGTTTTATTAAGGAGAAGAACTCATAAGCTGTTAGAACTTGTTTCTTATCCTTTTGCTTGTCAATAAATTTGTTCAAAACAATATTTTCCTTTAAACTTATCCTTAGCTTTTACCTTCACTTTTGGGTCGCAAGCAACGTTTAAGTCAACTTTGACCTTCCTGTGATTATTTCTTGTAAAAAAACGACGTTTTTATCTATCAGCCTATCTTCATACCTCAATTCCCACCCCCCTCTTCTTGAAACGAGAAGTATTTTACAATTATTACTGTTTCTGAGGTTAATACGATGATTTAGCTACCCAAGCAGTACAGTAGTTACTGAACTTGAAGGTCGAGCTCAATATTGTACTGTAAGGGTTGCTAAATCATCATCATAGTGATCAGAAAAAATACCAACACTAGTTTGATTGTGTCTTTCAATGATTTTAAAAAACTCATTGAGCAAGCATCGCCATCTTTCTTTGTTGTTTACATCTGCTGAACAAATGGAAATCGTCAGTAAGGACAGTCATCATATGAAATAGATTGAAGTATTCTTAACATCACACTAGGCCAAAATAAAGTAAATGAATGTATTGTTTCCCCATGTAAGTAAACAACAGTGATTTCTGTTTACTAATACTTCATAGCCTTTGAACATTTTTTTCAACTTTTACGTCTTACCGAGAGTTTCTTTGAAAGAGACGAAGAACATCTGTGTCGCATGGAGTCTGCAATATTTAATTCATACTCCATTCAAAATCTGGAAAAGTATTCAGCATGCTTACTCATGCATTAATTAAGTTGTCAATTGTGACATTAATGTACGTGTATAATAAAAACCCCATCTGGCACACGTTCGTAATTAAGGATCTTCTATACGCTGCAATACGAAATATTTGTTATGAAATTTAGGTAATAGACTTCTTAGATCCTCGCCGTATAAAGTTTAAACGGCGTGGACATAAGGACTCTCATTTTTGTTAGATTGCTAAAGAGCTGTAATTACAAAGTATTTGAATAAAATAAAAAAAAAAAATTACAGTGTATTACTCAATTTCTATTCGATTATTTTTGTATTTTAAATATTTTATTTAATAAAGTGATAAAATTGAACACTTTTTTCTGCTTGTTTTCTTTCCCATTAAATTTCTGTTTACCAATGCTTTATTATATTATGAACATTTTTTTCTTGGAGTAAAAGACTGGTATTCTTTGTCGCAAATGAAACTAACTGCACCTATATATATATATGCTTGATTTTTTTTTCAATGCCCTAAAACACTTTTTTAGTGTAGAGGGTCCTTGAGCTGAAATGAAAATGAAATGTTTTTTTTTTAAAGCTATACATCTGTATTAACAAAATTAAGGATCAGTGCCAATCCATGTATAATAAAACGGGTAGATACTATAAACCCGCTATTCCTAGAGAAAAACGTCTATTCTATTCATGTTAATTGTTTATGATGAAAAACATTTTGTTCTATATGCTGTTCAAAGTATGACCAATATAGATGCAGGTATACTGATAAATTTAATGTAAACACATATACACTATATACTAGTGATAATCCCTTTAGAAAAATTGTCAATCCTACAAATATTACAACTGCTAGAAGCATAGGTTGTTTCTTTGAAAAAGTGCTTTGACACCAGAAAAGAAAGTCAGCAATAAATACTTAGAAATATGTGAATATACTCTTCATTATTTTGTTTACCTCACATTTGTCACTTTGTAGATGTATGTCTTAATCGTGTTAATTTGTTTTACGTTATTACTGTTCATGACTGTATGCTGATATGGTAATTATCCATAAAGTGAATTGAATTGAAAAAAAGGTTGATTTTTAAAGAAATAGAACTCTGAAATGTAAATATCAAAGTCGGTTGGAAACTTTTTCAGTTTTACACATGCTTAGTTTCATGCATCCATGAAATTATATAAATTAATATGAAGAATGCAATTAAAAAATAAAACAAATCTGGTAAATTCTTTTTCGTAGAATATAGGATAAATTCGATTCAATTTATTGACAATTCTCATAATGGCATACTTTCATAACATTAATTACATAAAACTTAACACAGATTTATACATACAAAGTACAAAACTTGAGGTAAACAAAATCCAAGAATATAAAACTTATATTCTGCAGAATATATATTCACATATTTCTTAGTAATTATTGTTGCTTTCTTTTCTGATGTTAAGGCAGTTTTTCAAGAAACAACATATCCTTCTGGCAGTTGTAATATTTGTATGATTGCCAATTTTTCGAATTGGATAATCACTAGTCTAGTATATGTGTTCACATAAAGATATATCATTGTAAATCGATCTGTATTATTCATAATTTGAACAATACAGTGCAAAATTTTTTCATCTTCAATAAAACATTTACCTGAATTAACTGCATATGCACGTTTTTCTCTAGGAAAAGGGGGTTTAGAATATTTACCTCGGGCGCGTAGTATCGTTTTTGAAAGGGTGGAGGGTATAAGTGGAAATTGTAGCGAGACGCAAAGTTAATTAGCGATTTGTCCTTAAAAATTGGAATTTTATTTCTAACGAGAAGTAATCTTAGCGATTTTTAAATGCTCACTTAAGAAGCTATTACAAATAAAACGCAATTAATGTTTATAGCGATATTCAATTTTAGCGATCTCAGCACCCTCACTAATAATGCCAAAATTAAAAATTAAATGCTCACTAGAATTCTGCTTATACGGTATGTATATATATATATATATATATATATATATATATATATATATATATATATATATATATATATATATATATATATATATATATATATATATATATATAAAGATATTTGTTTTCAGATGAAATATATTGTCGGTGGTCCTATGATCCTTTCTAAACCTAGATTGATAGTGACTTGGTAGATTATTTGACTCAAGATAATTTTCTAAGCGTTTCTGTAGAGGGCTGTAAAAAGTTTTCCTAAACAACTTGTAACGCTGAGACCTCTATAAATATTTGTATTATTAGGGTCACCATTTTTTTTTAATAATGATGTTCCATTTTTTGAGCAGTTCTTCATTTTCAAATAAAATATTAAACAGTTTTGTATGAACTGGTAAAATAGTAAATAAATGTTATTTGTTTTAATAAACATTTAAAATAAAGTCAGGCCCAGCAATTTTACCATTTTTCAGTTTTAAAATGCTTCTAGTCACCAGCAAAATGCTACTTTCACTTTCATATATATCCTTTTTGAATTACTTGTATGTTTACATATGTAACATGTGTAAACCACCTGATGATTTACTGGGTTTTATTTTTGCTAAATCAGTCAGCACAGTACAACCAACCACTTTATGACTCATATTACAATTTTTGATTTCTTGCACGTCTTTTTAAATTTATAAATCAGGAAGAAAATAAAAACACACCCTAGATGTTTTAATCAATGATAGCATTTTCCGATGACGATTTGCACATCTACGCAGACATCCCACGTGATCTATGTTTACAAGTGCGTTATAAGTACAGAGGAAGATTGAGACAACAGTTCTAAGCAGTAGAAGGTATGTATAGAGAAAACGGATACACAGAATAATAATCAATTTCATGACTTTTCTTTCAAGTAACGATTTTCTTAACTGTTTCATGTTTACCATTTTCATAAATCGGTAGGGAAGTGTTAGGTAAACTCACAATGAACTTAGTGTGTAATACACGCCTGTATCTTGCTCACAGCAGTATTGGATTTTATGCGAAGTTTGTAAACAAACTATCAAGAGTTAAAGGTACGGCTTAGCAGACGACGAAGAAATTCATAATTAAGGTGAATTTTCATGATCTGGGGAAAGTTTATAGATACATTTTATGTTGTAAAATAATGGGAATGAGATACGGTCATACGCATGAAAATCCAAGGAGATGTGATTCATATTTATAGGGGAAAACTAAATGTACAGTCTGTATATAATGAATGAATACGGAGAAGGGACAGGATAATGAACTCAGTCATATTATAAACCATTGCCAGTTTACAAAAACACGGAGATGAAGATCATTTTGTGTTATTATTAGTAGTATCTGTAATCAGTATGGATATCGTGATAATAAATGATTGTGTCCAGATACTAAAATAGGACTTAGGGAAGAGATATTTAATAAATATTATTATACTGTTAAAGATAAGACAGAAGTGAATCAAATGGAGCCATATATACGTAAAGGAATTCCCTAAAATACGTTTTTAAAACATACACAGTCACAATTAATAATACACAACATACGGAGTAACATTAATGAGCTGTTTAAGACACATGATCAATATCAACCATATTAAATTTGTTCTCAATAGAGTTATCATTTGAATATTTCAAAGTATTTTTTTTTTTATTCAGTTATCAATTGGATCAATTTTGACAAATTAATGGGAATGGATTACTCCAAACAATCACAATCAACTGTTCATCCACCCCCACCAAACCAACCCTATCCTCAATCGGCACCACAACCAAGTGCCCCTCCCCCATACAGCGCACCGCCTCAGCCGTATAACGCCCCTTATGGTGCTCCTCCGCCGGCTTACAATTATGGACCTAATCCTTACCAACCAGCGGGACAGCCATATGGACCATATGGGCCACCCCCACCCCCACCAGTACAACACGTGGCACCACCAACAGTGGTATACGTAGATGGACACCACGGGCACCATGGGCATCACGGCTTTGGGCACCATGGCTTTGGCCACCATGCATTTGGTGGTCACCATGGGATTTTTGGCCACCATGGCGGACATCATGGTTTTGGTCACCACGGTGGGCACCATTGAACAAAACTATAATAAGTTCAGTTTTGTGCAATTTTATTTTATACAGTGTTTGTTAGAAACACTAATAGAAGTGCTATGTTTTAGTTTCGTATTTGTTACGTTTATGTATATATATATTGTACCCTCTCAGGGTGGAAAAAAAATCCATCATTTCTTTTCACTGTTTTTGCTAATATTGTTGTATTTTCTTGTTACATGAAATTCAATTTGTTGTTTACGAACTGCAAACAATTGAAATGAGTAATAAAACGAAATATTGATTAAAAATGTTTTACATTCTTCCATGAAAAATCAGGTGAAAAAAGAATTTGAAAATGAATTCGATAAACACGAAATAGTAAAGATTTTAAATATCAACTATATATATTGTAGAAGGGAGCACTAATGTAACAACTAATCGGAAGGTTCTTTGAGCGAAACAAAAATGTTTTCAAAAGAAAGTTAATCACATGTTAAAATGTTAACATTCCATAAATCCTTATCACCAGTGGGATTTCATTTTGAAACTGTTTTTGTCTTTTGAAGTTAAATCTATTTTACTACTTAAATATTCCACTTTTTGCAAGGAAAAAATAAAACTTCACTCTTATCAATTTTTTTTCTCGTTGAACTTTATATAAAGATGGTGTAAAAAGAGAGTATTAAACGAAAAGAGTACTATATTTACATCCAAGTGACACCTTTTTTTCTTTCATAAGAAGAACAATAATTGTTTTATTTTTGTTTTTGCCCAGATCAGTTTTGACATGAGGATTTCTCCGTGGCACCTACAACTTCTCTATACATTTTCAGTGATACTAGCATTAAAGTTTTAATACGGGTGTTTCAGCATACATTTCTTGACCTTGTGGTTTCCAAATAAAGATACTAACAATTTATGAAAGAAAAAAATATATTAAAAATAAAGAATATATACAATTTAATTAATATAAAATATTAAATAAGGCTGGATCATTTATTCTGAAGACAAGTATTTCTAAAACATGGTCAACAAAGGCATTTTTCAATTTAACATAATTTAAAAATGGCTGCAGTGTTTCTCAATCACAGACTTATTTTGTCTCTGAATTCCCATACTGCTATGATTTATACACAATTCGAACAAATCTGTTTCCTGTACAGATTCTTAATAGTTTTCCAAAACCGTATTCACTAGTATTGTCGATATCCCTTTACATAGTACAGTTTAACATTATCAATTTAGAAATCTATTTTAGCATCCATTTTTAATAAGGACCCGAGTACTTGACTTTTTATGATAAAAAAGGTGAAGATAACGAACAGTGATCTATCAAAAAAAAATTATAGACTTATCTCTCTTTGTTTTCTCAAAAAAGTAATGTTTTATGAAAATTCATATAAATATCTATATGAATATGAAAAATCATTCAAATGTGTTAACTTTTGAAAATTGACTTGGAGGTAGGCGGGAGAACAATGCTATCTTTCGCAGTTTTTTCATGAAATATGTATACATGTATCAAACTGAGCATATAATGCACAGGAGATCATATGGCCCACATGCCTCTTAGGTAAATATTTCAAATGTAATAAATTCATTACCGGTTTGGAATCAAAGATTGTAATGAAGTTAATACTGATTCGAAAAAATGTTTTTAAAACCAAAAAACACAAAAAACCCCTAAACAAACAAATAAGAAAAAGAAGGAAAAAAAAGAAAGAAAAAAGAAGAAATCGGCCCAAAATTGGAGCTTGATGAATTTGTTGTCCAAACCAGATAATAATATTTTTTCTATATATGCATGGGCGTTTTGATGAAATTGAAAATTTTAGACATAGAAAGGATTTTTTGAAAATGAATTTCATGTGTTCAAACTTATATCAGTATAATTTTTTACGGGGGGGGGGTGTTCAAACTCACCCGGGTGACCTCAGATGGCAATCAATTAAATATACCTTCATCTCTAATTCACAGTTCATCTGTTTTCCTGCCATATTTGCCTTAATTAACCCCTACAGGGCACCACCAGTTACCTTCCAAAAGATGTGGTTTTTGGGCGAAATGTATATGGTGTTCTGGAAATCGGTTTTCTGTAAAAAAAAAATTCGTTTTTCGACCCCCATTTGACCTCTAGGGTGAAAATGAAAAATCCGATACCTTACTGCAGGTCTACAGGACTCAACTATCATTTTCCAAGCTGAACTGATTACTGCCTAAATTGTTAGAGGAGTCTGAGGAAGAAGAATGTATGTCAGATGAACGGAAGGACCAGAATAAAAACATACATATGTACCCGAACTTTCTGTATAAGAATGATTGAGATTCCAACCCTAAAAGAAAATATATCATTGTGCACTTTACGCAATGCACAGAGCACCAGGATTGTGTGCATAGTTTCCACGCCCCCCCCCCCCCCCCCCCATTGACACCGAGGGTGAAAATGAAAATTCAGAAACCTTATTGCACGTTTGCAGGACACAACACACCATCAACCATTTTCCAAAAGGAACCAGGGATTTTTTTAAAGAAAAAAAAACCGTCATTTTTCGACCCTTCGACCCCTCTGTGGAACCCAGGTTGCAAATTGAAATTCCAAAACCTTTTTGCACATCTATAGGACACTGTAAGAAGAGTTCTGGTAACCAGAGTTTTTCCAATAGAGAAGAATTACATTTATCGACTCCCATTTCACCCCTGGGGTGAAAAATAAAATTTCTTACTGCATATCAACAGGACACCAGCTTCCAAAAGATGATTTGGCTACTGCGTAAAATGTAAGATGAGTTCTGGGAATCAGGATTGTTTTGTAGAATAACGTTATTTTTAGACTCCCATTTGGCCCCATGGGTGAAAATGAAAATTCCGAAACCTTATTGCACAAGACACCAGAAATTATCTTCCAAAAGATTATTTGGTTATTGCGTAGCAGGCCCGTAGGAACAATTTCAGTTTGGGGGGCACAGCCAAATATTTTCAGTTGGGGGGCACTATCAACTACTAAAATTCCTTGACAAGCAAAAAAAAGGGGGGGGGGGGTCATCAGCGTTTTTATTGAGGGGGCTCAAGCATATAATAGCTAAGTTTTCTATAGTATTCTAAATATTGGCAAAATTATTGGGGGGGGGGGGGGTGCGTGCTCCCTCCCCCCTCCCGGTTCCTACGGCCATGTAAAATGTAAGAGGAGTTCTGCCTCAAAACAACCAGGGGTTTTTAATAGAAAAAATACATCGTTTTTGAACCCAATGTGGCGCCTATGCCGAAATTGAAAAGAGCTTATTTCGATATTAAAGACCGCTTAGCGGCCCACTTATTTTCATAAAAATTAATTGATTTTTTTCAAAATTAATTTAGAATTCAAGATAAGCATATTAACTTTTGTTATTAATATTTCAAAAGTTAATATGAGATGAATTCACATTGTAGCTGACACATATATACTTAGGTGTGCCATCAAATGCATTTACATTAGGCTTATTGGAAAAATGAGAAGGTGGCATTTATAAATCGATGTTTAGAATACAAAGTGCATTAGGGACACTCCCCTAGTTTTGTCCAGTAATTAGATATACTCTGCATACTTATTTCTTACATTATGAGTATTACAATATGAGTGTCACGTGTGTACTTCATATCCAAAAATTTAAAAATTGCATACAATTTGCATATCTAAAATTGGAAGAGCCCGTTTTACAAAAGAACTTACGACTAAGACCAAAAACTTAAGCTTATTGTAAAATCTTGCAAAATTCATGATTCTATTAAACACTTGTTCGCATAAAAAAACTATCTTTATAAATTCTTTTTTAAAAGATCAAAACACTTTTAAAATTTATTCAAACAAGAAAGTTATTCGCAAAATAACATTTTGGTCTTAGTCATAAGTTCTCTTTTGTAAAACAGGGGTCTGGTTACTTACTGGCTAAAGAATGTCCAGGTTAATGTTTTTAAACATTTTAAACCAGGTTAAAGTTTTTGACGCAGTGCAGCTTTAAGCTCTTGTTGACCAGACATGCTTCATGATGTATGTTCGGATGCACTCTAACAGATTTGCTTCAGATGCTAGATCTGACCTACATTTTCTTGATGAGTGATCAGGTTAAATTTTTTGGAGCGAGTGTCATTCTTATGTAACTGTAATTCCTATTGTGACCAAGCTTATCTATGGTTGCACTTTACCAGAAATGGTACAGTTGCCGGATCTTACTTAAATATACATTTCCCGACTGATTGAACAAAAGATAGTTCATCCCTTAACGTTATTTATAAAGCATATGGTTATACCCTGAGAAAAAAATTTTAAGCCATTCTTTTGATTAGAAACCAACCCTCGCTCCAATTTGCTAGAGAAGGTGCACGTACATTTCCGTTTGGTTGATATACATGTAGGAAATTAGATTTTTTAAAGTCTGGATGCTGAGGTGTATATTTCTGCATGAAGGTTCACATATACTGCCGTGTGGTTGATATACATGTAGGGAAAGTCTAGATGTTAAGGTGTATATTTGTGGGGGATATAGGATTCAACACATATCTTTGGTATTTACACATTATTCTGAACTGCTGCTCTTGTCTAGAAAATCAAATAATGAGGTCATACAAGTGACTGGAATTGGTGAAGCAACATGAGAAAATAGGTCCTGGCCTGAATAGTCTCAGTTGTGATGAAAACATAATGCACATCTATATGTGGGTAAATACTTCTAATTTTCAGAATAAAAGGGAGACATTCGATGTATTTTAGTTTTTTTTTAATCATTGGGCTATTTATATAATTACGTATCTTGATAAAATATTTTGACTGTGATTTATATGATTGATATAATTAAATACAATGTACACGAAAACATGATTCTTTTAAATTAACTTTAAAAAAATATTTATACATTGTATATAGTTGCATTTTTACCAATCGTACCGATTTTTAAATTTCAAAACATTTTTTTAAAATTCAATTTGATAGTATTACGGTATATTTTTGTAATACATGTAGTACTATAACTTCAGTTGATGAAAATGTGTTGCAAACAGCCAAACACCCGTATATGAGAGTAAAAGTTTATCTATCACATGTCTTTATATCTTTACATTTGCTCTCTTACGTATTGAAAAAATGCTCATCCTCTTTCAAAGAAAAGTTACAATTAAACACAGGAAGAATCTTGCATCTTATAAAAGCATTCACATAAAATAAATGTCATTAAATTTCTGTAAAAAAATGTTGAAATTGATTATTTGATGTCTTTATTCCGTTATTCCATTTTAAAATTGTCAACTTCAAAAATATAGGGAAGGGGGTATGCTTATA